CCGACACCACTAGCTTATGGTTGACAGCACAGATAAATAAAATGGTTAATAAGTATTCAATAAGTGTCAGCTGATGGCCATATAGATTCAGACCTAACAGTGCAATCAGTATTGCTATTATGCATAGCATTGCCGTTATAACTGCTACTAAAATACCGGTACGTGTTTCGCGTCTATCGGTAACATATTGATGATTGCGTCCACTGATCAATAGGTCGACAATTTGTCGGCCATTCAATAATAGGGTCAACAATGAACTAATGGTTTGTATAATATATGTCATATGAGCGCAGGTATGCAATAGTTGTAGAAATTGATATTTATGTCCAGTATTTTTTGCTAGTATTACTAATTGGTGTAAAATTATTTGTTAATGTATCCAGTATGCTTTTCAAATAACAAAATAGTATTGTCATTAAATTTTATGAAAATTAAATTGGATAAAATATCTAATATATAATAAAAAAAAGTTCATTGCATTAATTATATTATTTTGTCAATACTTATAAACTTTATGAACCCATTGTATTAATATTACTGTATATAAAAAATACAATTAATTTATCAAATAATTAGTATAATTATTTTGTTTTTGTTTTTTTATAAAAAATTCTAGTTAATTAACAAAAAAAACAATAACAAAAAAAATAGGATAATTAATATATATTTAATTGATTTTTGCTTTTTATTATAATTAACAATAATTTTTTACACATTTTGTACGTAATTTTATTAGTTGTTACTATAAATACCATTAAAATAAAAAATAAAACATTAAACTAATAGATATTTAATTGTTTTTCTAATTTAATTATAATAAACAATAATTGTTGCATATTTTGTTTCAATTTTATTTAGTACAATAAATATCATTAATTAATATAATTATAAAAATGAAAATAAAAAAATCAATAATATATTAATATATAAAATAATTAATTTTTTGTTGTTTATGTTAAACATTATGTTATAGTGTAGAAAATAATCAACAGATAAGTAGCAAAACAAATAAAAATATATTCATATTTAAAAAAAATAAAAAACTTTAAAAACTAATTGTTATTATTATAATTCTTATAGTTTACTAATAATATTAATAATTCAAATAAATTTAGTGTAAATTTTTACATTGTGAACAATATATTTCAAAAAACAATATTGTTGTGAAAATATACAGTTAACAAACAAATAAATAAACAAAAATCTTTTATTAAACTTTTTAAAAAACTAATTGTATTTAATATTAATAATTTTATGATTTAATTTAGTGTAAATTATTTTTGTGCATTGAACTATACAGTTTAATAATAGTTATCAAAAAACAAAACAAACAAACATATTGTTGTGTACAGTGTTTATATTGCTTACTATTATTTGCATATTTTTTTGTTGTTAAAAGGTATGTAATGACTAAATTGTTTAAATATTATTTTTTTTAAATCACATATTTATTGGTTTTTTCTAAATAAATAATTTATTTAAATTTTTTATATACATATCGAATATATCAAATATATTATTTATATTAATATATTTTTATTATGTGTTTATTATTAAAATATAATTATAATAAATTTAATCAAGTGTCCAATCAATTTGCTTATTATATATATATATATATATATATATATATATATATATATATATATATATATATGTCAGATATATAGACATTTAAGTTAACATTATTTTTATGATTATTATGAATTCAATATTTTAAATAAATGATATTTACATTTCTATGAATTTAAGATATATTAAGTTAACAATTGATATTTCAATTTAGCTATAATTTTAGAAATAGTTTAAATAGTTGTACTAAAACTTTGAACACAAATATGCCGATACTTTTATCCCACTATTTCTAATTGTATATCATATACACCGACAGTACATACATAAATATACTGTACATTAACTTTTATTATATCTATTTTTGTTTAACAATTTATAATTAAATACATTTACAAAACATACTGTAAGCACACATACATACATATATTAATACAATTTATAATCAAACAATAAACTAAAATTTAGGTCAAACTGACCCCACTATATGTTAACCAATTGACTACTATTTTTGTATATAAATGAGAGGACAACTAGTTATCGGTACCTCTCGTTTAACTCCAGTTTGTGTATCACATATACTGTACACACATTATACTGTATTTTGTTTTTAAAAGTTTTTACTAAATAAAATAATTGTTTTTTATTTCAAATAAGTTTTAATAAATTAATGATAACTATTCAAATAAATAAACTACAGTCTAATCTGACAAGTCGGCAGGATAGTTATCTGTCAAATATATCAATGTTTTTTAAATCAATTAACATAAAAGTTATTATTCTAATTGTGTTAATATTAACTACTGGAGTCATCGGTGCCAGCTTTTTCAACAAACTATATAGTTTTGCCAAAAAAGCTATTATACCACTGGCAGTGACATATCTACGAGAGCAGTGCACGACATAATTAAAACAACTGATCAACAAAGCATCCGTATAGACACCGAAACACTTGCAACTATATTGGCGCTCATCAACAATGGCCAGAAAACAAAGTCGACGTCGAGCACCGGTAGTCAACGAGTTGGCAACTCCGAGGAACCCAACAAACAACCCAAACCCGGAGGACAGCAATGAGACAACAGTCACTCAAAACAAACAACAGGATCCCGATGTTATGGACATCGCTTCTACGACATCGGACACCGATATCTATTTCAACAGTTCATCACATTTTAACCGTAAGCCAAAAATGCAAATTTTTAAAGGTATAAGCGATAAGGTATCCATTGAAAATTGGATCAAAAGGTTTGAAACTATTGCCAAATATTAT